TGGAAAACCTCAGATTCAAAACACAAAATTCAGCTTAAGAGGGGCTATTCGCATTTCGAGTTTGGATTTCAGACAATTTCAGGCGCATTCTCCATGCATGGTAGCATGTAATAATTAGGGCAAGATCATGGTAGAAGATAGTACATGCGGTCCAATGACGAAATGAGGCACCCCACCCACCCAGGGTAATCAAGAGGGAAAGGCCCACCCATGATCATAGGGCTCCTGAGTTCCACCTAGTAAAAACCTGCTTCGCCGTCGTGATCCCCTGTCAATCGTTTTTGGAAATCTTCATTACCCAAGACGGGTGAAGAAGCCCATTTTGGGCAGAAACCGAATTCATGAAAGGGAGGAGGTAGAGGGACCTATTTAAATTACCATTCCCTTTCCCCCCTGACTATGTCTCTGACCTTCTGAACGGGCTCATGTCCGTCGTCGTGTTCCCAGACCCGGTGATAGAAGAGTTCTCCTTGACATTATACTCGAGAGATTCATGAGACATCTCGTTATCTCCTTTCCTGCTTCCACATTTATTATTCCTGGCGTCGCGGAGGGAAACGACGAACCCTCTTGTTTTTTTCAGGCCCGAAATGAATCGTGTTCAGGGTCGAACCGTGAATTACTCGAACGAACAACGTTCGTGTCGACATTCTCATTCACCGCCCACGTGAAAATGAGTCATTCTTGATATTAACATGTTGAGAATAGCCCCCCGGTGAGGCGCCCAAGGCCCTTGGGGGGCAAACGCCGTTTCGCCATCCCCCGCCCACACTCACCGTCCTATGTGAGTTCTATGCCCAATGAAATACACCTATATCTCATGGGAGACCAAAGACACCCCCAAGATCAAGGAGAATAACCAAGATAAGCCCTGATTCGATTCGCCTCATCGATCCTACTGTTACGAAATGATACCCCTGCTCCTCCTATCCACATTGAACTCTCTGGCCTCGAGAACATCAAGAAAACGAAGCAACTGAAATTTTTCATGAAAGCGAAACAGAGATTTATGAGAGATTTCTCGCTGAAGAACAAGAGGGTCCCTCCCAACTCGGAGGTGTGAAAGCGACATGCTTATTAAAAGGAAAGATGAGGGAGAAGATGGGGAGCGTGAGAATTTATCCGCGATGACGTGACCCTTGGATCTGAGGTGAATCTTAAAAGGAACACCCGTGGAGAGAGATGGGGGTCTCATCTCTAAAGTGTCGATACCTGCCTCACGTGATGGATTATTTATGGAAACCCAAGGATCGTCCTCTCATTTGTCACGTGGGAAATGACGTCTTCATGCAAAAACCAAGAAAGGCACATTAGAACAAAGAGACGTGGGCTCCATATTCATGACCGCCCAGCCAGTGAGAAATCTCCCCGCATTAATTGCTTAGGTTTCCCTCGTCTCATGTCGCAATATCCTCCCAAGGTAAGGTTCCTTCCTGTAAACTCAGTTTTATGGAACCTTGTTCTTCACTCCTTGGCGCTAATGGATGAGGAGATAGGCCCTGCAAAAGAAGAGTCCCCACCTGGAGAGATAAAATCCCTAAGCAATCAGAGAAATCTACAGGCAACACAAGGCCCTAGGTCACATGGTTTTCCCAAGGAATCCCCAATGACTTCTCGAGATAAAATAAGTCGTACTGACAAGCTGCGTCAGCGCCATAAGAAATGGGATTTCTTTATTTTTGGCAACGCTGCAACCCAATGGAGGTCGTGCTTTATAGATGGGTGCCAAAATGGTTGGGAAGCATCTAAAACGGAAAATAACAGAAATAAACAAAGGGGGACGAGAAAAAGATTGTTGGATGTGAAGGGACTTGACAGGAGGAATGAGTTATTGGTCCTGGAATCCAGTTATACTTCGTCTTCCACGCGTGCTTGGAATAATCCTTCCCAGCTTTTTTTTCCCTTTATAGATAGATGGTATAGACTAGAGGAAGAGGAGGAAGAAGAAAACAAGAATCTATGAAGAGAAAGAAAGAGAGAGAGAAAGAGAGAGGAGAAGGACACGAGGTAGAGAAGGCAGGCGGTGTGTGTGTGTGTGCGATGACTCACGCAGGTATATCAGGTATTGCCTGAGGGGATATAATATATGCAGACTTTTCCCCAGCTGATGTGAGAGAAACCTGTGGCTTTTCCCCGCTTTCCTTCCTTCATCCCCTCACATGAACTCAGATCGAGTACCGAGAGGTATTGCGGATGAGGGAAAGCCCCAGCTGTGTCTAAAATCGAGGTTCATTTTGGACTCGGGGCACGAGGGTGCTCTCAGGGAGAGAAGGTAATGAACGGAGGAGATAGATGACCATGGTCTGGCCCCCCTCTTCATTCACTCCCAGGTGGTCATTCGGCCATTCCATCTTGACTGACCTTGTTAAAAGGTCTTATTCTAGGGACAAGAGACAATGCAAGCAGGGGAATTCTCTGTACCTGTCCGAATCAGTCATTCGTGCACAAAAATCCACCAAGACAATGCCTTTTTTTGTACGAATTACGGGGAATCGATCACATGATCACATTCTTTTCCTTCTTATTCCAAATCAGTCGGTTTTCCGACACAATGGAGGATAAAAGCCGGATGTGCCTGGGAGAGGCCGACAAAGGCGGCACGTTCTCGGACAATGGACGGGAAAAACGAGATAGAAAATTGGCAAAACCCGGGTGCCGAGCGGGTCTGCCCAGGCACGCAGGAGAGACCCGGGGGGGGGGAGAAGACCGGTTCTTCCCTCTCGAGAGTGTCCTCCAAAAAAGGTCAGGCTCCGCCCAACGCACTCGTCACATTGTTGCCTAATAAGGGATCAGGGGAAAGATCATTACACGCCATATGTGGGGAAAAGGGGTTGGAACTCGGCTCCCGTGCCTGTGGCGGGGATTTCAACCTCATTCCCGGGTTCCCCACCCCGGAAATACCTAGAAAACGGGTAAAAAGCCAAGGACCCCCTCCACTCCTGAGACCTGAGGGCACTTGATGAAAGGTGCTCATCAGCACAACGACCAGAGAGGACATGGACATGCAATGCACGTGGCCCAGGTACGCCTGCGCGTATGCCATGCATCACAATACCCTTGTTAATGTTATTCATCGGGGGGTTCCCTTCACCCTCCATGAGGCACCGCAACGGAATAATCCGTCCCGTGACTCTGTAAAAGGTGAAACGAGCCGGGGGCTAAATTGGTGTCCTGTCCACCCCGTGTCGATTTCTTTCCGCAGATAAGGGAGGCCTGGGCAGATCATCGAAGACGACAGGATATAGACAGAGAAAGAGAGGGAAGACGAGAGATTGATATCTGAGCTATTGAAATGCGGGACAGGAGAGCAAAGAGAGAGAGGATCTGTTGTCGAGGGGGGCAAAGAAGCAAAAAAAAGAAAGCAAGCAAAAGCTTCGTCTGCTGAGCTGCAAGGACAACGTGATCCTAATGGCCATCTCTCATATCTCATCTAAGGGGTCCCTGTTGTCTAATGAAACACCGCGTCGAGGAAGTAAGAACGAGATCCAAACGCTAATGATCTCAGGCCTCCAGACATAAAACTAAAATATAACCGTTAGTAATTCCCAGCGAGAAATTGAAAAAAAAAACTTACAAAAATATTCTTGTTTTTCCTCATGCCAAGCAGGCATAAGACTCGAACCCAGACAAAGGGAACACATAAATATTTTCTCGTCAAGTCCTTCTGTACCCAAGGAGTAGTCAATGAATGCCTCGAGTTCTGACCGAGGTTACCTTTCATGATACCTTCATGATACCATTGACGATGACTGACATGAGGGGATCCGTGGATAACCGCAATTAAAAATGTTTCATGCCACACCAGCAAACGCCCTTCACTCAAGTGCAGAGAAACAGCACATGACATACAAGCACATCAATTCCACACAACAAACATATCTTACGTCACTTCTATGATAGCAACTTCCAGGATGCAAACTTTTTCACTATTAAATTTCTAAATGTTTCTCTCTTTTGCAGATGAAAATTTCACTCAGATTCGGAAACGCCTTAATAAGCATCGAGTTGTCTTCAGTACATGTTCCCAAGTGGTCAACGTAAGACATAAGGACGATTCAACAACAAGATTTATTAGTTTGGAGTCAATAATTTCGTTTTCTCCATGAAAATGTATAACAACTGTAGCAATGGAAGAACAAACTTGTGGCTTCCGTTCCCTGATACACGAAATGATGTCATTTCACACGACTCACAAGTCGTAGGAGTAATCAGAATCTTTTGATTCACATCCGGAGTCCCTAATTCACTGATCTGTCCAGTCACCTGACTACATGATATCACAGTAGAGTTCGTAGGAATTCATATACGGTACGGTCAGGAAATCACTCACGTAGGTGCATGGACTATCCTTCCGGTTTAGTATTGATTATTCAGAATATCAAACATCATCGAAGGAAACATCACTTGCTTTTTTAACATTATGGCCACTGGAGAAATATATTCCTCACTTTTCACGGGGAATGACTAGAGGAAGATAATTACCCATTGATCACCCAATTACCATGAACTGGTAAGCACTACTATCGGAATCAATCCAAGGCACATCACTTCCATCCAATTACCATGCATGCCTGGAGAACAGAAGCAAGGACCCATCAACAACACCGACTGCCAGAGGAAGCGACAGGCCGTGGAGAAAAAAAAATATATAAAAAAATGAAGACCGAATTCAAAGAGAAGCAGGCAAAGGCAGGCGACCAGTCTGTACATGTAGAAGGAGAAAAAAAAAAGGGGGGGGAAACAACTCAAAACAATACTGGGACATGCATACAAGCAGGAGGAGTTCAACAAACAGAGTGATCCAGGTGGGCATGGGAGGTAACGGGCGCGAGAGGATTATGCAGGGAGGAATGAGGATGGGAATGGGAATGGGTATGGTGAAGGGGTGAGCCGATTCCGCCCATGCCAGAGGGATTGCAATGCCCACTTGGGGAATGAATGGAAGGCAAGGGAGTGGTGGCCATACCAGGAGAAGGACTTCCAAACATCATCTGTCTTACTTTGGCCTGTTCATCGTCTGTGCCGACACTGTAGGAGAGCTCGGGTTCCTCGTAACCCCCGGGTGCCATGCGTTGGTCTCCGCCGGGACGAAGTTCGCCCCCGCCGCATCCCGATCCAGACCCAGGAGGGTCAGGAGAATTGAGGCAGGTTTGGATGAGGGCCTTCCCGGCCTCGGATGTGATCATCGGCTGGAGCTTCCTCGTCGCGAAGGTGTACACGTGGCCGGTCTCACTGGCCACGAGAAGCATCACCTGTGTCCCCGTCAATGTCGATAGCTCGTACGCCTGCAATAATCATTCACATCGTGTTTGCAATCTCTCGATAAAAGCGAATCCACTTCCAAAAATGGACATCGGTAAGTATGGAGATCAGGTGATGCCTAAAATATAGCTCGGGACGATGCAAGACAGTCAATGCCATATATCAACACACAAAGAGCAAAGCATTGCTTTGGGATCTCATACATCATCCGAGTTCATTATATATGAGGTACCGCTCTTGCGACACGAGAGAACAGAACTGATAAGACAACCGCAACCGTAGCTACTTTCGATGCCTCGGCTCCAAGTTCTGAACAGCTGACGGCTGATAAATCAGCCGTCTCGAACTTACTGGCATCGAGTAGGTCCCGCCAAGACGTGAGGGTACTTGAAAAGTGTCATAAGAGTGATCACATAGTGACACGTCTCTTAGTACATTAGTTCCAAGTCAACTTAGAGAGATCTTTCAGATCTTTCCGAGTTTACACGCAAAAATTAACACCATTCACGAAAGGGCTAATCCGAATCGTAACGAACTTCATAAGTTCAAAGCAAATCACGAATCCGAATCTTTTGGAAACTGAACAAGCGATTAGAATCTCAAATCCCGACTTGCTTTAAAAGTCTCTTTTTTATTGTGCCGATGGAACAAAAGCAGGGTTTCCCGGCAGTCTGACAGGTCCTTGTTCGTCCAAAACTCAAACAGGCTGTCCTCATTACTTTAGTCTGCATTATTGCACTGGATTTGCATCTGTACCGATATGTCGCATTGAAAATGTAAAAAAAGTAATACAGGAGCTTCTGTGCCCAGGGCAGCCGATTCGAATACCATTACATCTGAATCTCCTGAATCTTTCCCCGCTGATTCGAATTGAATACCATTCCTACCTATTCACCATTCTGGCGACGAATCTGGATGAGAGTCATGAATCCCTGAGCACATTAACGCAAATCGGTTTAGCCTTCCCCTTAAGTTCATCTTCCCGAAAAATTTACGCTGAAAATAGACATCGGTATCTCACGACATGCAATTTCTTAAAAACTGTCGGGATTATTTTTCTTTCACATAGCTTACGTCCACTTTACGCCAGAAGTAACAGCCAAACCTACTGTTTTGTGAAGTCTCGCGTTAAAAATAGAATGGATGTCTCCGGGTATCTCCTTGGAAATAAGATTCAGGGAGAAGGGGGGGGGGAGAGGATCCGCCTCCCGACGTCCCCTCCCCGTTGAATGTTACATCAAAAGAGAGACCTCCGCAGAACATCAATTCATAATTCAAAATGCGAGACTAATCACAAAACAGCAGGTTGGCAGCAAAGACGAAAGTATTTTATGAGAAGAACAATACAGATGCAGTTTAGGAGAGCCTGCGTGATGTGACATGCGTTCACGGACATTTCCCCTAGTACAAGCGCGTAAGCGCTCCAGGCAATTTTCGTAAGAAAATGTAAAAAGCATAGCGGATAACCTTCGAGTTTTTGCTTTTGGGTGAAGAGCCTGCTCGTTTATCGCACCCGAACGGCATTCTAGAAAAGAACTAGTTTTCGTAGAGATCAGGGCAATCTGATCATATCATGAGATCAGCTCAGTAACTGGAGGCATGAGGGTGATTCCCGCTGCCCCCTCTTCCAACTTGAGCGACGTGGGTCAGTGGTCCTCAAACTGAGGGTCGGCTCGTTAACTTTAATTCCGGCCCACAACACGGAATAAGGCTGGTTTCAAACACTCGTCATAGCCAGAACGACTTCTCTCAAGCTCCTCTAATCCACTGGGCTTTCAGGGAATGGTATTTCTTTCTTGTCTTTAGGATTGAACGTGAAATAGTTTATCATCGACTTCTCCACTTCTGAATAAATGCATTCCTAAAACCAGAAGATTAAAGGCGCATTTAAGATAAACAATCTTTGCATAACCCTGCCTGTTATTTATGTTGTCATGTTAAGAATCTGATGATCATAATAAATATTCAGACGAAAAAGCAGATAGCGGGAAGGGGAACTGGGTCCGCAAGATTCCTTTCCTTTCACTAAAAGCGGATTTTCAGTTTTTAAAATATCCTGAGAATCTCTGGTTGATGTAGGTCTACTATCAAATCCATCATTTTCCAACGGGGCAGAGCAGTATACCGTAAAATGCCCAAAACTGGCGTTGTCTTGTTTGAAAATATAAATGAACAAGGAGGGCTGTGCTGCATTCAAAATAACAACATAATGCAGTTAAAGGAGAACCAATACCGCTTTGGTACAGTAGATTCTCGAATGGAGCCATGAATTCCAGATTTCCAGAGCGATAAATAATCATGCTCGCACCACTCATTGTCCCTATGAACAAAATATAACAGTTGTGGACTTCCAAAACGGATATTCATTTCCGACCTGAACAGGCGCATCTCCTATAGCGTGTATTTTTTTTGCGATTGGAGTTTGATTTTTTTTTTCCACAAGGACTCCGATATCGGTACACGGGAATAGCCATGCACCCGTGCATGGCTACTCCCACGTATCTCATTTCCACGGGAGACACATGAGAAGTCACTTTTCTGAAAGCTGTCATGGACGAAATAGTGTTGTTAACATCAGCGAAACTTGTTGGGCTCTTTTTTTCAAGGTACACAAGGAGTCTTTTGAAATATTCATAGGAAAAAACATTCACGAGACTCACATTTGCTGTAACAAACAAAACAAGGAAAAAGCTATCAATGAATTCCTACGAAGGTCATTATGCGCGAGATCAGTTTCAGCATAATACCTCATTCATGAGGGGCTGTAATGGGAATTTGACTTATTGGACTAACTCCATATTCACAATGTATTGTGCCTTCAACAACTCAGGCATAGGCCCCAAGATTGTTGCCCAGCATCCCAGAGAATTTTTGCTCTCTGTAATTACTTACGATTGTTCACCTACGCATTGGCCATCTATTTTTTTGGTTCATTACAAACCAGCTTCATTCAAATAAATGTGTCAAGCTGTGCTGAAAAGGGGTGTGAAACCCAATCTCGTTGAAATTTAAAATGCTTACTACTTTTTCAGACATGGACTTCACATTTATCCATAAAAAGGGACAAATACTGGTACCTTCTTCATGATTCCAGTCTTTCTCTTGGAGAAGGTAGTATATCTTCGTAATTTATTATCAATGAATTCCATCTTGATTTTCACCCGTCCTTTTGTCTTTTTTCCATTAGGAGGTCCCGATTTCTGTCCACTCTGTCCATCACTTGTACTTGGAGTTTGTTGGGAATCTGACTGTTGATGTGCTGCATTCATACCACACACACCAACATTGGTCATACTTTGTCCCCTTTCATGCCCCAATGATTCCATCATGTGGGGCTTCTGTTCAGAGTAATAAGAAGGGGACTCCAACTTGGCTTCTTCTGCAGTCCTTTTATAGCCCACACCACCTCCATGAAGGGTCACTGGGGCCATCGTGTTGGCCAATGTATGTGGAATGTTCACACGATACAAGTTGTGCTGTCCAAAATCATGACCTTGGTCTGGATTCATATCAGGCCAGAATTGGTCGAGATCAGGCCCAGCACTACTTTTCAGGCCCTGCAATGAAATCATAATGGGGGAACTACATAATTAGGCACAATAGTACAAATGCAAGCAGTTCCAATAAAAACAAGATTGATACATGAGCAGGTTTGCCTAAGGACTAAATCTGTAAAAATGTGCTTGTCAATGCATGGGCTACTTGTGAAACCATTTTTCTGCAATTAAATATAACTACACAATACACCTATATCCTGATTCAAGCATATCCACTATCAGAGCGCAAGTACTGGCTGGAGCTAGTTGCACTCAGTACAACAATGAATGCTAAAAATAATTGGTAATACATACATTTTGTTACATCGCATTAGTTTTACTTTGATTATAGTACCACAAGTAAGTAAGATGGATTCCAAGATTATTATGTTGGGGAAACTCATGAATCAATCATGCAACATGAAAACAGAAAATCTTGTCCATACACTATGACTGAAAAATAAGTATGGCATGAAAAGATGCATTTGCATGAATTTTGTACAGGGCCATGACATGAAATTGTGCTTATTTGCACTCCTTTCCGCAGGAAGAACTCAAATACAAAAAGCAGGGTCACTGCATATGTTCCAGAAATTCACTTCTTTGCATATGCATTTAATTACATACAAAATACTCACTCTGGTAGGTCATCAAATCCTCTTAAAAATTACAATTCAAGTGAAACTTTACAAGTTGACCTGAGCTACATGCAATACCACTTATAAGCTAATGCAACTAGATTTACTTCCCAAGTGATACAAACAGCAACCTACATAAAAGTCAATCCTTTGCTGAACATCCAGAACCATACAGAAATAATAGTCAATAAAGCAGAAACAGTGGGAAAGGTGAATTAAATGCTACAATAGCAAAGAAAATTGGCACATCATGCACAAGTAATGAGTTTCAGTCATTTCTCCAAAAAGAAAGAAATTAATTTCCATTAAGAGTGCCCAGGTGTAAAATGTAAATAACTACTGGAACTCATCTGATTAAAAAAAAAAAGTGGATTAATTACAGGGGTGTAATTACGTTCAGTTCTAGGCATACATTCTCATACACTCAGACCAGCCACCACTGACTTAAAAACAGTTATGGTTTTTTTTTTGTACCATATGATGCATGATGCAGTAGGCCTAGGCCTAAGAAAAATTAGCAATAAGCTTAAATTTGCACCAGGCTTTGAGTCGAAATTAAGTGAACTGGTGGCCTTCGTGATACTTCTATTTAGGTTTTGATTCTCTTCCATGTTGGGGCGAATCTCCAACGAGCAGTACCAATTTAACGTTAAGCGTAGGGGCCTGTCCAGGCCTAACTGGAACTTGCTACATGCCTTGTCCGAGTTAAAGTCAACGGGGGGAGTTTCAAATAAAGAGAAAGGTCATCCCTGGCTTATGATAACCTACTGCGGCCTACACCTGGCTAAAAGCCGGAACCTACGTCTGCCAGATCCATGAACGTGCTTGACAAGCACAAGATAACACCAGAGGAATTTTCAGATTAGGCCTATGCTCAACGTAAACTCTAAATCGCATTCCTATTTGACAGAAGGCACAGTAACAAAAAAGACATTTCTTAGGAACACGAAAAAGCCCAGAGTGAAGGCAGAGACACTCCCAGCACTAATGCCGTGAACGGACTGAGCCACTCAGCTGATGTGAACGGACCGGGAGGCAGACATTTCCTCTGTGGTCGTCTGCTACAAAATATAGTTCCCTGAAGAAAGCCCGATAGCTCAGATTCCCTGGTCCATCCCCCAGGACTTGGAGTAATAAAGTGAGTTTCTCATTCTTCTCAAACTCTTAATCAGTGAATTTGATTTCGGGAAGGTCGATTGGTTAGAAAACGAAAGCTAGGATATCCCGAAATAACTCCGCCCCCCGTGCCAAATATGGGCATGGCTGTGCCCATATATGGAAAATGTAATCTACTCCCTCTATGAATCGTGCCATCTGATACCTCATGGTTCGCACGTGGCTCTTCTTTTCTACCTCCCATGTTCGTATACATTTAAAGAATCGCAAAAAACTTAAAGAATTGCTTCTCTCTATGAAACGCTTGGATTCTTGGAAATACTGTGGACAGATTCGGAATACAGTTCCGTTATACCCGCCCCTTCATTCCCCCCTCCCCTCTTAAAAAAAAAAAAAAAAAAAACCTGTCATTTTTATAAAATGTTCCAAGATCTAACAGGAACATGGGCTGGGCCTAGAATCTCTCGTTTCATAAATGACGCCATAATTAGTTCGTTGTGCCCGTACTTGGAGCATGCGACGCACGATGCACGGCAGTTTCTGTTGCCGGATTTTGGAATGCTAATCATGATATGAGAAGCGACACGGTAACATTTCAACCGTGACGATTGCATTTCACGCAAAGTTGCTTTTCGGTCACACCCATTCGGGACTCACTATTTAATCAGAGAGCCCCGCTTCACCCAGCGAAGAGGCGCCTTTACCCAACGCATACGACCAATCCCACCACAACGAATCGCATTCGTCGGATATCAACGAGTGGATTTCTCGACTGCAGGGATATGACAGGTGCGAACGATTCCATATGCTCTTGACGAGGACTGGAGCAACGATAAGCGACCTTGGAAATGACGAGAACCAAGGCCTTTCACGAAGTCTGTCCGTCACTGCCCTCTGCCGTCCAACGAGAGAAACGAAAGTTCCTATCTCTGTTTCCTAGATGGCAGCACTTTGCAACGAATGTATTCTTCCTCTTGGATCTTGCGGATGGTTCGTTCGGCATTGCGATCTTTGCGGTTGGACAAGGCATGTCGCTTGTTTCTTTTTGCAGATTTACTGCAAGTGCACAACGCGCAAAACCTCTGTCCAAGGACGAAGAATGTTCGCAAATCCGACAATGTTGTTCAGGATTCTCTCGAGATGTTTCGTCCGGTGCTACTCGAGAGGTTCTTTCCCTCAACGAGTCGGGGTTCCTCACTGGCAAGGAAGTGCATGGGATATTCAGCACTATAGCGGAATAATTTTTCTTTCGAGTGGTGCAAAACAGACTGTACGTTGTTCAGACGTTGATCGACTGTTATCGTTCCGATCGTTGGTAGTTCCACTGTAACATTCCGCAAATGGATGAATCGAGAGTGAATTCACGGCATAAACCTGCCGAGGAAAAGATCAGATGCAGTATTAATGAATCATATTAAACGAAAGACAGCGGCGTTACGGGATTGACGGCATTCCAGCACATACACGCATGCTTCGTTATCCCGCTTGATTTATGAATCCCACTTTACACGAAAGGCAACCGACATTTCCATACGATTTGCATAGCATGAGTCACAGCTCGAACGCACTTTCATGCTTCAAGGATGCATCATCATAATAAATGCGTTGCGTACGCTCGCGGTTGGGTTCCGCCTTCAGCAACGTTGGGTAAGATTCCACCAAATTTTCAATGAAAATTCGATCATCTTGAAATTTAGGATTGAATAAGATCGTTTGAACAGCCGTAAGATGGAAACTCTCGTCCATTTGCCGCGAAAACGCTGGAATCGAAGCAGCCGCGACGGAATCGTACCTTCCATTTCATTTTTTGTCGTCTCGTCTGCAGCCGGACAGAGATTGAATTCTTTCATCTGGCAAGGCGGGATTAGAAGATATTAGATGGGCAACAGGGGGAGAGGGGGGAGGGGGGGGAGGGGGGGGGGGGGGACGAGAGAGAATATGTGGCCTCTTGAGAAATGACCCAGCGTCAACTCCTCTCCAGACACTAATTCATCCTCCGCCTTATCTGCGTCTCCGCGGCCCCTGCGACGGTCCGAGCTGTAACCCTTTTTTTTTTCGATGAGGAAAGTCCCCGTGAAATTGTTGGAATGGCTCCCCAGTCCACAACCTGCTCCAGTTTCATCAGAGCACGGACAGATCCAGTTTCCCTGCAAGATACGCCCATTAAATGAACCGTAAAACAGGATCGCAAACTCGAAAAGACTCTGTAGACTCGAATGAATCCGCTGCATGGAAGTCTGGCCCATGTGCCCATATGCCCATGTTCCCATATGCCCATGTGCCCATGTGCTCATGTGCCTGCCCCCACGGTGCAATTTTCTTTCTAATCCTCATGCATACGAACACTGTCGCACGGGTTATCTGCGCTATTTTTTCCTGGTCATGCATCACGCTGCTATCTGGTGGACTTGATATGGCTGGGAAGTTAGAAGTAAAAAGACCCTGCCAAATAACCCGGCGCCGTGGCTTAGTGAGTTAAAGCGCCTGTTTAGTATACAGGAGATCGAGGGTTCGAATCTCTCTGGTGCTTTTTTGTTTTTTATTCTTTCCTTGACCGCATTTCATGTTTCAATGTTTGAAAGAAAATGTCTCGATGGAGTGTTGCTTCCCGTTTAGTTCACGAAGCAAAGGAAATTTTCCCCAAAGGCAAGAGGTCTCCGAACGACGATCGCGAAGGAATCTTAAAAGGTGAGACAGAACCCTTCGGCATCTCGGAACCGATGAAACCGCAGATAAAATCGGTGACTTACCGATAAAATGCCAGCAACACCTTCGAATACTCGTCGAAGCAAAATCGATGAATGCGTCAGGAATCGAGTAGTTCTCCTGGGAGAAATGCAATTATGCGAAGTGAACCCGAAGTCAGTCGAGACAGGAGTTTCCTGTTTCGACTGTCTCGAAGTCTCGCTCTCGCTCGTGCCGTCTCGCATTGCAGAAAACGAAATTCCAGTGCAGAAATGCGATGCAGATGAAGTGATCGAACTCGTGAATGCCGTGATGGTCCATGCCGCCTGGGAAATGGAGGAAGGCGGGTGTCGAGCGACAAAAATCCTTATCGGTTTGCCGTGGTTATCAGAATGTTGTCATAATCTGGGTTGTAATCCGCAATTCAATCCATTTACCTGAATGTTGAATCCCTCATAAAAGTGAGGGCGCCGTGGCTTAGTTGGTTAAAGCGCCTGTCTTGTAAACAGGAGATCGAGGGTTCGAATCCCTCCGGTGCCTCTAAGTAGTTTTTTCAACCATGAAATCCAGAAATCTCCACCTCATTTTCATTTTCGTTATCGATCGAAGTCAATTAAGAACGGATCACA